TTCCTAAAAGAGGGTGACAAATGCATTCATAAGTAGCATATTGGTCAGTTTACAAAAGCCCGTAGAATACACTAAAAATCTCTCATGATAGGTTTTGAATATAATTTTGTTCAAGTTGAATCAAGTTTGTCAATGAAAAATGCTTCTAAACTATATATAGTAACTATGTTATGTTTTAATCCATGTATTGAGTTTTCGTTTTTTTGTTTTATGAAAAAAGACCTCATATGTAGCCTGATATTTTTCTAGGTGGGAACTTGCTATCAGGTATTCCAGTTGAGAATAAAACACTGGTCATATCTGGAGGACTTTCAGAAGGTAGTCTGTCAGACACTTTTCTTTGGTGCCCACTTACTTTGGAACTCAAAGATTTGATAAATCCTTTAGTATAAGAGAAATAAACCTTTTAAGATTAAATGCAGTTATAGTTGGCCTTAGTTATCATGAATAACCAGCATATGTTACTACTCTAACATGCATACATGGAAGTACACACGAATAGGAAAGCAGATAATCCCTTAAAAAAATCCAGGTGGATAGTAAACTCGATAGAATACTAATATTTACATGGGAAAGTGAAATATGCAGCCAGAGATTTTGTTTAAATTGCTGTCAGTTTTTACTTGTTTGTTTGAAACAACTTTATACTTACTGTAAGTATAAACCTAAGAGTTTGATACATTTTGGCGAATCTTCCTTCTCATTCAGCCCATATAAAACCTTACAATACTAGCTGACTTTAAGTTTGATTCTTGTGCAAAATTTTTACACTGCTACAACCTACCAATTAGATTTGAATGGCATGCCCAGGAATGTTGTATCAGATCCTGCCAACATTTCACAATCTAATTTTTTTCCTCGCTGTCACAGCTTCATTATTGTAATGAAAGATCCTGTGGTTAGAAGCAACTCTTGAAAAATAATCCCCAAAAATTTGCAGCAAAAGATATCTGCAATTCATTATAAAACATGTCTTCATATTTTTTCTTTGCCTTAAGGTTCATTCATAAACTCAAGCTTCAGTGTACATACCATCTGGCATGTACAACAGGATCCTGCTTATAACAGTTTTTTTGGTCTTAACACTAAAACAGGAAATCTATACAGCAAAAAAACTGTAAATATAGCACAGGTAGGAATGGAGGAGAGTTAACATTAGTCAATAACACATTTTTCTTTAATAAGGAAATGAATGGCAGTGGATACTTATGAAGGAAGGATGCAACATGGTTGATATCTGCCACTTTCATGCACACTGTTTAATTTAATACCACATAAGCCAAATGACTGGCAAACCAGAACATTACTTTAATTTTTTAAAATAAGCTAGCATCTGGTCACATACCTAATTGGTCAAGCTATTTTTTTACCACAAAATTTGCCTTGCTTTGAGAAGGAGAAGGAGAAAGAGATCATCCAGATTTCCTGGTTAAACTCTCTGGAGTTATTTATCATTCTTGTTTATAGTACTCAGTTCCTCACATTATTTGGTTTCTTGCCTCAAAATATAAATTTTGAATGATTTTATGAAATAATTTTTATATAACAGGAAGGAAGTGGCCACTTTTGTGACCAGACTCTAGCAGTCTTCCATTAAGCTGTAATGGTTTTATTCAATGTTATTTACAGCCTAAAATGTGACAGACTTTCGCATAAAACATTATGTAAACCTACACATAACACTCTTATTGGTTTTTATGTACCACCTTACAGGTGACTCAGTCTTATTTCTGGTGATTACCATTTTATGGTTTTAGATCACCTAATGGTGAGATCACTGTGAGCATGGTATATTGCTTGGTGTGCAAATTAACATGAGATGTATTACTGCCATGCTTGGCAGTAAAGCTGTGACTGTGCTGTGATATAGCTTACTCAGAGGTACATGGAGCGTGGCACTTGTTTTGCTTGGAGGCAGGGATGTGGATTCATTTAAGGAGATTTGGTCCTTGCAATACCTTTACACATACTGTGTCAAACCTGAAAATGCTACTCCAATAGGGCAGAGGGTCCTCAGGTAGTTTATTGAAGGTGGTACCATCTAAACTCATAATTAGAGTGGATAAAAGATATAGTACCTCTTGAAAATATTAGTATGTAAGGTATCTTTAAAGCAAATGCATTATTGAGATCATCAGTGCACCACCAACTACCACTACTTTAGAGTGAAATCCTAGGTATGAGAATGTGTTTTTCATTCCCCTTTCTCACAGTCAAATGTGTCTTATGTGGGCACATTTCTGATGGCAGTCAGCAAAGATTCCAATCAATCTACAGTGGACACCTTGGTAAAAACCATGAATTTTTACAAATGTTATATTTGAGCTGTGGTAAAAAATGAAAACCCTTTAAGACCTTTAATAGTGACAAATGTATGTCTCAGTTAAATGCTTCTCTCGAAGTGCCCCTGAGATCAAAATTTTCATACATCATTTTTTTCCATTTTCGTGTTCAGTGTGTCTCTTTCACCTACTCTGGAAAATTTCAGTTTAGACCGAGCACCAGAAATATCTTTTTTCGGGCCGTTAAATTCACGATTTCGCGTCCGCCATTATTTGATCATGTTCCGGAAGTTGATCGCAGGACTCAGAGGAAGTGACGTCAAAGGCTCAACGCGAAAATCTCACAAGGCAAAATGTCAAGCAAACATAAAAGAGTGCTTTACTCTATTACAAAAACTAAACAAAAATGACTGGGCATTGATGCGTAATTCAAAGCTGAAGTAATCGTGCAGACCATGCTGCAGGTATTTCTCTGCATCGGAGCCTTGCAAATAGATCAGAGCGGGAAAAACGGATGCGATTTGTGCGACTTCGCCGAGTAAACTTGAATCCTACAGAAATATTAGTAATCTACTCCGAACACCTCTCGGAGGACTGTTTCGAGAGATCTGTGTACTTTGAACAGAGTTAATTGACTCTGCTTTGAAGGATCTAGGCGAAGAATTCTGCTGGGTTCAGTGCCTACTGTTCAAGAAGAGAAGGGACAAGAAAAACCGTCCTCAGTACGATCTCGACGCCGGAAAGCGAAGTCTACGAACCTCCACGGATTTTGTCACCTTTACATATGAGCTGATCAATATCCACCTATAACAACTC